CTACCAGACTTTCACAAAAGCCCTCTGATGACTGAAAGTTGTTTTTGGAAATGGTTTTCCAGCAGTCAGTTTTAAAAACCCCCAGTACAAGTATTTCAAAAGCCAGTAGCAGGCTCAGGGGTGCAATGTTCTGCATTTAGCTTGTTAAACTTTTCCACATCGACCAGAACAGCTTGCAAGTGGGATCAAATCATTTCCAGAAGCCGCGATTCACAGGCAAATGGAGCCACTGTCCTGCTATTTGTGCAAATGCTCAGGCGAAAAAAAAAAAAAGAAAAGAAAAAGGACCTAAATGCCCCAACTGGCTGCAAATGGAAACGAGAAATCAATTCGGGTTGTCGTTTCCTTTATGGATGCAAAAAGCCCCAAAACAAAAACAAATGCGACAGTCGTATAAAAAGCAATTTCATCTCTCAAATTTGTTACAGCCTCCCATCGACCGGAGATGCTATTTATTGCTTTGTAGGCACCATGGATCATAGCTTTTCATTAATAGTAAGCATTTGTTTCAGGGAAATGGATTTTTTTTCCACCGCTGAAGCGAGCTGACTTTTAAACATGTTACATTTTAATATGCTCAGCCCCAGCTTTGAACCACAGATTTTGTTCTATTTTATGAGATTCCATTTTTATATCTGGTTGACCCCGGAGGTGCACGGTGAAACCAGATGCTTCTGAGCCCAAGAGATCTTCTGCATCTCCATGCTAATCTGCCTGGCTATGCCCTGACGTGGCCCCTCTACCATGGCATCTCAGCACCTCACAATAAATTATGTAGCCTTACAATGCCCCTGTGATGTAAGGAAGGGTGAACAGTCCCACTGTCCAGAAACCGAGCTACAGAGAGATTAAGTGACTTGCCAAAGGTCATGTAAGCAGCATGTGCCAGAGCTGGGAAAGGAACACAAGTCTCCAGAAACCTAGTAACTGGCTTTGCCCTGGGAGGCAAAGGCTGGGATCAGGGTCTTTCAACTTGTTCTCCAGTCTGTAGCGAGCATCTTCTCCCACCTGAAAATGTTTTCTTCGTTGCAAGTGACCTGTAAGGACAGGTGTGTGGGGAATTACGGGCTGTCCTGTGCTGCTCAAACGATTTGCA